TCCATACAGCTTTCCACAGTGGTTGGACCAGTTTGCACTCCCACCAACAGTGCAGAAGAGTTCCTTTTTCTCCACACCCTCGCCAACATTTGTTGTTGCTAGTTTTTTTAATATGTGCCATTCTCACTGGTGTAAGATGGTATCTCATGGTAGTTTTGATTTGCATTTCCCTGATGACAAGTGATGTTGAACATTTTTTCATATGCCTGTTGGCCATTTGCATTTCCTCTTCAGAGAAGTTTCTTTTAAGCTCTTCTGCCCATTTTTTGACTGGATTATTTTCTTTGTTGTTGTTGAGTCTCATCAGCTCTTTGCAGATTTTTGTGATCAGTCCTTTATCATTAGTGTTGGGTGCAAAAATGTTCTCCCAGTTGGTGGGCTTTCTCTTTGTTTTTGTTATTGTCTCTTTTGCTGTGCAAAAGCTCTTTAATTTGATGTAGTCCCAGCTGTTTATCTTTGCCTTCACTATCACTGCTTTGGGTGATGTGTCTGTAAAGATGTCTTTGATGTGCAAATCCCGTAGTGTTTCGCCTATATTTCCTTCTATATATTTTATGGTTTCAGGTCTTATGTCTAGTTCTTTAATCCATTTTGAGTTGATTTTTGTGTATGGTGTGAGGTGGTAGTCAAGCTTCATTCTTTTGCATGTAGCGACCCAGTTTTCCCAGCACCATTTATTGAACAAACTTTCTTTGCTCCAATGCATATTCTTTGCTCCTTTGTCAAAGATTAGTTGACCATAAATCTGTGGGTTTATTTCTGGATTTTCTATTCGATTCCATTGGTCTGTATGTCTGTTCTTGTTCCAATACCATGCAGTTTTGATGATTATGGCTTTGTAGTATAGTTTGAAGTCTGGGAGTCTGATGCCTCCATTCTCCAGGGAATATTTTTGAGGAGAGCAATTTGCTAAGATGCAAAGTAGTGGGAAAACAATGTTTTCTGTGAACCACGATATAGGAGAAAGTGGTACAAAAGAAATTCAAGGTGAAGCAATTGAACAAAATACTCAATAGATAAGAAAAAGAAATAGAAAGAATTAAAAAAATAAAAGTAAATTAAAAAAAAAAAAGCCTATTCACAACTGTGGACAGATTGTCCTTGAGGATAAAGACTGGAAAAGAACCCATTTTGCACAAGAAACCAACGTATAAAACATGGCAAACAATGTCGAGACAGCACTGGTGTCAAATCCATTTGAAACCCCTGCCTTATAGAACTTGGGTACTGGAGGGAGCGCCTTCAAGTACATGTGGTGGCCTCTCCATAAGTCTATGACTCTGTGTGCTACTCCAAGGCAGAACCTCATGGTGAGTACTTGTTTAAAATCACTGACATTCACAGAAAGAAAAAGAAAAATGTTGGATGGTCTCACAGCGAGAGTAAAGGGAAACCAAACAAAGGATCAGAAAAATAACAAAACTTGCAGACAAACAATAGATCTGAGGCATACAGCAGGGGAGGAGGAGAGAGAGGGGTCATATCAGGGGAGGGAAGTGCACAAGGGACTATGGTGATGGTCCTGGGTGCCATGGTGGTGGGAGATTTATGGTGACTACACCTCACCTGAGAGGAGAAATCAAATATTATCCAAAAATGAATAGCAATGTTAAAAAAAATAATATGCACTGGTGCATGGTTAAGAGAAGCAAGTACTTATCCTTATAGCTCTGATTGCATAACCTAGATAAATAGGCTAAAAAAAAGAAACAGTAGCCTGTTAAAATACAGCATCAGTTGAAAATTTTGCCCCATTTTCTGAGAAAGGTTGAGAAGAAAAAGTAAAAATAGATACTGAAAAAGAAATGATAGGAATATGAATCAAAACTCCATACCTCTAGGCTAGAGGTTGATTAATATCAAAAGTAGATACATTTAACCTAATTGTGATGAAGTAACTCTAATTAGGTTGAGGGAAATTCAGCCTTGGAATGTGAACATTTTGTGGCATCTGTCTCCCCAGTGGGTCAGGCTTTGCTCAATATATCCAGAGTAGGCCATTTCCATTAAGCGTCACCTTGCTCTATGGAACTAAGGTCAATGGAAGGATGCAGATTATTTTGTTTTTGTTGGTTTTTTGGTTCTAATTTATTTTATTTTATTTATTTATGTATATTTTACATCATTGCTTTTTTTTCTTCTTCAATATTTACTTTCTTTTCTCAGGTGTAGTCCCCATAGAATTCCCACTACCAATTCACCCCTGTACCATCAACGAAGACCCTTGTGCTCTTTCCTCCCTTGTTTTAATCCCTCTCCCACCCCCTCCCCTGCAGAATGTCGCTGATCTATAGCTGTCTGTTCATTTTTGTTTTGACTTATGTGATTTTTATGGTTATTTTTTTACACTTATTTGTCTTATTTGGTTCCCCTATATTCCTGTCATAAGTGAGACCATTTGATATTTTTCTTTTTCCTTCTGGCTTATTTCACTTAGCATAATTCCTTCTAGCTCCATCCATGTTGCTGTGAATGGAAGAGTTTACCTTTTTTGATTGCTGAGTAGTATTCTATTGTGTGAATACACCACTTGCTGATTATTTTGAACTAAGAGGCCTTAGAGGCTGAGGAGAAGCTCTCGACTTGTTCTCTTGCCCTTCCCTCATCAGCATATAAATATAAATATATATATATATATATCCAACAGAGATAATATTACCAAAATTACTCCAGCTGCAATTTCACTTCAGTTACTTTTTAAACTTTTGCCCACTTCCCTAAGTGAAGAAGCAATCACTGCACCCCCTCTTCATGACCTAGAAGAAGAATGTAGTTCATCGAGGTGTGGGCTCATCTGTAAATACATCCTCTCTCTCTCAGAATCTCATCTTTCCTCCCCTCCTTGTCATGTGATCTTCCCCTCCCCTTGGTGCTTTAGGGACCCTTAATTGGAGACTGATACCCCTTTCTCCGTGGCCAAAATCAGGACCTGCATAATCACCGTCAATTCCACTTGCATATGCTATTAAATTGATTTTTCCTTCATTAACCCATCTGATGCTGTTTTGATGACTTCTCCAGTCTGAGAAGAAACCAGAGGGATAGGGAATTTTTCTCTGTGCCCTGACAATTTTGAGGATACCTAGACTTTTATCAGTTTTCCAAGTGGAGATGTCGGGTAGAGAGGGCTGAGAGGCTCAGTCATCAGAAGCACAGTTGAGAGTAGAGATGGGGGTGATTTTTGTCTTAGTTGGGCAATTCTGAGCACATTACCCACTGCTCCTGTGCCCATGAGTTCCCTCACATCTTTCTACATATCCCCTGTCCTCAACCGTCTGCCTTGCTTGCTTTTCTACCCTGGTCTACAGTAATGATTACCCACTAGCTCCAGCAACATCAGACCTTTCTCATTGCCAGGGCGGGCATTCTGAATGAAGCAATTTTTAATGCCATTTCAAAGTAAATTGAATAGGATTTGTAACAGCAACATGACAGGGGTGTACCTGTTATGTATCTGAGGGAAGATCAAAGTACAGGCCACTAAATATAAAACCTTATCTGCGTGAATATGTAGACATGCTGACCAAACGTTTTGCAACTAACTGGTTGTTTCATTTTGGAGCCACTGACTCTCTTGGAGCATCTGTGTCCTCATCTATAAATGGGAATACAGCAGTTACTTACTAATTAGAGTTTTCGCTAAAATGCAAAGATAATGTTTGTGACATTACCCAGTCTGACATTCAAAGTCCATCATAATCTGGCCACCAGTGCCCTCTCTCAGTCTTGCACTGTTCCATTCATGCTGGCATGCCCAGGAAAGCATGTCCATGCCCTGCAGTGCTCAGCTGGTGTCTCCCTCCTGCAATGCCAGCTCCAGCTTTTTATTTTTGTCCCAGGAATACACAGTTTTCAAAACCCAGCATGAATCACTTCAGTTGCATGAAATTTTAAACTCTCTTAGTTTTGATGATTCCTTTTCCCTTGAACTCCTGTAGCATTTTATTTTATTTTTTTAAAGATTTATTCATTTATGCATACAAGAGCTGGGGTACAGACCAGATGCGCAGGAGGGTGAGAAGATTCACCAGAGACAGAGTGGGGAACAGAACAGGCAGACTGATGAAATACACTGCTGAGGGGAGCAGTGGGCGAGACAGGAGAGGTCTGCTATACCATGTGGGTTTCTCCCTGGCCAGCCGGGGATCAAATTTGTGCTGCAGAGGCTGTGGACCGCTGCATAGTGCAGTGCTTAACCCCTCGTGCCATCAGAGAGCCCCTCCTGTAGCATTTTAATACATTTTAATACATTTAATACATGAAATACACCAGGTCTGCCTGTTCTGTTCCCCACTCTGTCTCCGGTGAATCCTCTCACCCTCCCATGCATCTGGTCTGTACTCCGGCTCTTGTATAAAAAAAAAAAAAAAAAGAGTGATAATATTGTCAAAATAACTCTTGTGGCATTTTCAGAGCCTGTTAATTATGATTTTTTTTCTGTGATGTTTTCTATAACAGGATCAGACTGAAGAGCTGAAATGAGGAGTGGAGGAGGCAATACATACATAAGAAATGCCCCTTCCTGGAGGGAAAAGGAAACTGGAAAAGCTTTTGGTGTGACATGGAGAGGTGACAGAGAGGAAGGGAGGTGAAGTTCACAGGCAAATGACCTGCCCCCCCCCCACATCAAATATTGAAGAAAGTGGTAGACCAGGGGGCAGGATGGAAAATATAAGACCTGGTGCTCTGCTTTGCACACACGTGACCGAATGATTTGTCAGTTTGGCATGACACATCTGCCAGACAGTGCCAAGAGGGTAGTGTAGTAATTGCTGAAAAAGTGCAAAAATGGTAGGCTTTAATTCTCTATTTTTTTTTGTGTTATAGGGGATCCAGAATTTATATGTCATACTCAGGCTTTGGGGTACATGGAATATGCTGGCTGATGAGCTCAGAGCACAAAAAGGAGGGAAAGAAAAACTATAGCCGAAGACAAGCCAGGCCATCCATGCTGGGACCTCAAAGCAATTTCAGTTACTACAGTTACAGCAGTGGTTCCAGTGAGGATCAGGGTGGGGCTGAGTCAGTGAGCAACACATCAGTCATCAAGTTCAGTGACAGAAGAAACCCGGAGGACATTAGTGATGGACAGAGGCCGTGGGACTGGAAGGAATCAGGGAAGCAGCACAGCTTCTCCTGGGCTATAAGTCTTCCAACTGTCCCCTCCCATCTCCTTCCCTTACCCCTCACATTAGTAGGAGGAGTGTTAGATAGCAAGGTGAGATAAATTCTGGGGAATTAGAGCTACATTTCTTTTCCCCCTCTTTCTGCTCTTTCTTATTTTTGTCCTCCCGTATCTGATGAGCAGTGAGCAAATTTCAGCCTTATTACCTCTGTATGTCTTTTCTATCCAAATAACTCAGAATTTGCAGAGGGGAGGAACAGAGTGTCTGAACTGTGCCTGACACTTGTTCTGAACATAGCGGGTATGTAATCAACATTATGTTAATTGGAAGAATTTGAATAAATAGTAACTGTGATGGTGGTGATGGTGGCTGCTCCTGTTTGTTGCAAGTGATCCACCTAGGGCAGTGGATTAAGAAGCGTTTCTGGACACAAGCCCTCTGGGTTTCAATCCTGGGTCTGTAATGAACTAGCTGTGAGGGATATCACTCAACTTCTCTGTACTTTGGGGGTTTTTTAGCTGTAAAATGATGACAGTTCCTAAGATGCTTACAAAAATTAAATATATATATATGTGTTATATATGTGTGTGTGTTAAAATGGTGCTCATTTCATAGTAATCACTAAAAATCGTTTTAGTCTTATATGCCAGGCAATTTAAGTGTGGTATTTGATTATTTCAGAGATGAGGAAACAGAGGTGCAGTGATACTGACATGCACAAGAATAGTTAGGAAGTGACACAGCCCAGATTCTGAGCCCAGGGCACTCAGATATCATGCACACACTCTACCCCTTTCTGGTAGTGAATGGAAACCACTCACTTTCCTGGTAGCCCTCAAGTCCCACACTCTGTTAGTGTTTTCCTCTCCTTCAAGTCTCTTTCAAGGTAGTGAAAACCTACAGATCCTTAAGAACCTACTGGGTATATTACGGATAAGAAAAAGAGAAATAAAATGTTTCTTTAACTGTGTTCAACTAAGCTTGAACGATTCTTCAAATTAAAAATTTAAGTTCCCATTATTCTCCCAGGCTATTCATAGTTTTATTCAAATAAAAGCTATTTGGGATGATTAAAAAGTTTAGGTTGACTAGACTAAGCTGAAAATATCAGTATAGATATCATTTATTAAGCATCAATAATGACAACCACTGTTTTGTATCTAGTCTTTACAATGATTTTGAAAGTTAAGTGTTACTGTTTGGTTTAAAGGAAGGGACTAAAGCTCTTTAATATAATAATATAAAATCCATAAAATACCAGGAATCCCTTGAAACAATAATTATGAGAACCAGATTTTAAGAGCTGGAATAAAATGAAGTTTGTAAGTTGTGGCAGAATGGTGTCCTGATTATGAATATGTAAGGACACATTACTAATTCAATTTTCTGTAGGCCACATCAATGTGATGTTTAGTTCAATCTTGAAATCTGCAGAGAGTTAACCTCTGCAGAAACTAATTGTATGGTAAGACAAAAATTACGGAGAAAAATGAAATTAGAAGCCTTGAATTTAGAGGAAGAACAGGGTTCACAGACAGTGAGGAAAGTGGTGGACATTAAATGGTAAGGGTTTGTTGGGGAAGTTATATTTGCATTTCCTTTCCTAAAACGACTGGTGTGGAGTTCAGAGGCAGATTTAAAAAACAAGTGGCTTTCATAATTTCTGTTAGAAATATAAACAGCTGACTTAAAAACTGCTGGGATTCCTCAACTGGGTGTGTAAAGGGCCACAGTCTTGGAGAGACAATGATTTAAGAAGGTGGTTCTTAATCCCTGGTTTGCATCAGAATGATTTGGAGGGCTTGTAATATCAGATTGCCAGTTCCTTCCCCAGAGTTTCTGATTTGGTAGGTCTGTGAATTTGCTGTCTGTGTTCCCAAGCCATGTTGCTGTTGACAATCCAGGGACCACGCTTTAAGAACCACTGTTTTAGGCTAAGCTTGATGGACTTTGTTGATGTTAGTAGATTTCCTTTCTCCTTCTGCCTGCCTACTCTTTCTTTTTTTAAAAAGATTTATTTATTTATGCATACAAGAACTGGGGTACAAGCCATAGGTGTGTGTGGGGGGGCGGGGGGTGAGAGGACTCACCAGAGACAGAGTGAGGAGCAGAACAGGCAGATTGAATGAAATACACTACTGAGGGGAGCAGAGGGTGAAACAGGAGAGGTCTGCTGTGCCATGTGGGTAGCTCCCTGGTGGTCTGGGGATCGAACTCGTGCTGCAGCAGCTGCAGATAGTTTCATAGGTTGCATCTTAACCCCTTGTGCCACCAGGGAGGCCCCCTTCTGCCTACTCTTGACCTTGTTTTTTTTTTTTTTTTTAATAATAAATTTTATTTTTATATTCCCCATACAATTGCAACCCCCCCATTCTGACCCCAATCCCTCCCCTCCCGCCCCCCACCCCCCAAAAAGTGTCTCTGGTTCATAGTTTTTTGTTGATTTTGATTTTCACTTTCTTATGGTTATTCATTTTCCTGGTCCCTTAAAGTTTTCTAGATTCCTGCTATGAGTGAGACCATCCGGTATTTTTCTTTTTCTTTTTGGCTTATTTCACTGAGCATGATCCCTTCCAGTGCCATCCATGTTGCTGCAAATTGAATGTGTTTATCTTTTTTGAATGCTGAGTAATATTCCATGGTATATATGTACCACATCTTCTTGATCCAGTCATCTATTTTTGGGCATTTGGGTTGTTTCCAAAGCTTAGCTATTGTAAACAGTGCTGCTATAAACATAGGGGTGCAGGTGCTCTTTGGAATTGATGTTTCTGTGTCCTTTGGGTAAATACCTAGGAGTGGAATTGCTGGATCATATGGAAGCTCTATGTTTAGTAGGTCAAGAAATCTCCACACAGCTTTCCACAGTGGTTGGACCAGTTTGCACTCCCACCAACAGTGTAGGAGAGTTCCTTTTTCTCCACACCCTCGCCAACATTTGTTGTTGCTAGTTTTTTTAATATGTGCCATTCTCACTGGTGTAAGATGGTATCTCATGGTAGTTTTGATTTGCATTTCCCTGATGGCAAGTGATGTTGAACATTTTTTCATATGCCTGTTGGCCATTTGCATTTCCTCTTCAGAGAAGTTTCTTTTTAGCTCTTCTGCCCATTTTTTGACTGGGTTATTTTCTTTGTTGTTGTTGAGTCTCATCAGCTCTTTGCAGATTTTTGTGATCAGTCCTTTATCATTAGTGTTGGGTGCAAAAATGTTCTCCCAGTCAGTGGGGTTTCTCTTTGTTTTTGTTATTGTCTCTTTTGCTGTGCAGAAGCTCTTTAATTTGATGTAGTCCCAGCTGTTTATCTTTGCCTTCACTATCACTGCTTTGGGTGATGTATCTGTAAAGATGTCTTTGATGTGCAAATCACGTAGTGTTTCGCCTATATTTCCTTCTATGTATTTTATGGTTTCAGGTCTTATGTCTAGTTCTTTAATCCATTTTGAGTTGATTTTTGTGTATGGTGTGAGGTAGTGGTCAAGCTTCATTCTTTTGCATGTAGCAACCCAGTTTTCCCAGCACCATTTATTGAACAAACTTTCTTTGCTCCAATGCATAGTCTTTGCTCCTTTGTCAAAGATTAGTTGACCATAAATCTGTGGGTTTATTTCTGGATTTTCTATTCGATTCCATTTGACCTTGTTTTTTTTTTTTTTAAGGTGTGTCCCTGTTAGGCATGGAAGACCAGCACATGGTCCTCTCTGATTCACTTGGCTCTGGATCCTAGATGGCATCAAGTTATACTGGAGAGATTGTGGGAAGGAGGACTGTGTCCTGTCCCTATTTCTGCACTTCTGGAGCTGAGCTGGCTTTTCTGATCATGACAGTTGGTCTTAGTGCCCAGTTCTCATGGCTACCTTACTGATTGCCTCTAAAACTTGCAACGTGGGAAGAGGTAGGGGCTTAGTTTTTTTTTTTTTTTTTTTTTTTTAAAGATTTGTTTATTTGTGCATACAAGAACTGGGGTACAGGTCAGAGGTGTGTGTGTGGTGGGGGCTGAGAGGATTCACCAGAGACAGAGTGGGAACAGAACAGGCAGACTGACTGAAATACACTGCTGAGGGGAGCAGCGGGTGAGTCAGGAGAGGTCTGCTTTGCCACTTGTGTTGCTCCCTGACTGGCTGGGGATGGAACTCATGCTGCAGAGGCTGTGGATTGCTTCATAGTGCGGTGTTTAACCCTTGTGCCACCAGGGAGGCCCCAGGGGCTTAGTTTTTAACTTTATTAAATGATTCCCTACATGGAGGGATTGCCATGTTTCTGTTTCATTTCTTTCTCCAGGATACTTAATTTACCCCCTCTTATTTCCTTCCTAGAATTGCTTTATCTTCCAACTACTACCTTCCTTTTTCTGCATCTGATATGCCCCTGAAGCAATGCATCCTGGGACTGCTACTTCTGGTCACACACTTTCTAGCTCTTCTTCTACAAGTAGTATGTGAGCTTTAATTAATAAAGATATTTGTCTGATGTGGGGTTTCATTCTGGCCATTTTTAACTATTTCTCTAAGTCAAAGTAAGAATAAGATAAAAACAGTAATTTGCAAAGGCCAACTTCTAAAAAAAACAGTAATTTACAAAGTAAAACAGTAGAAAAACCCAGTAATTTACAAAGGCCAGCTTCTAAACATCATAGACTCAAACGATGGCTCCTGGCATTATTTACATTTTAATGCAACCACTGCTCAGCACAGCTAACATTCCGGGGATACATCCAGCCAGTGTATCCTTTAATTCAAACAAATTTAATTAATATATGGTGCGTGCCTGTATTGACATGCAATGTAGGAGGCATTCATGCTGTCATGGCTATGGAAGGACTGATGGTACAGGAAGGCACTCAAAAGACAGGATTACATTAGGGAGGGATCCTGGTCTTGGTAGAAAGTCTGGGTGAGCTACTGGTCAGAAATGAGGTGAGGGTTTTGTTCACAAAGGATTTGGAAAGGGCTGCAGAAAGGCCAGAAAAGGAGGACAATCCACAACATAGAAGATTTATAAAAGCAAAGTCTCTGACTAAAATCCTTAAATTGGAAAGTCATGGGGTGGGGCTTGTGGAAAGGCCAGGACGAGTTCCTGCCGTGTCACGCCCTTTACCTTAGGGTTGTCGGGACAAGACTAACTTGGGATGCAAACCAGCTCGTCCTTTCACAGGAGTCTTCTAGAAGGTGGCAGCTGCCCTAGCAGGTCTTAACTGGCCCATGTCCACGAGTTTAAGTGGCAAAAGAAATCTGCTTTGAAAACAGAAGAGACCAGGAGCCAGTGCTCTTGCCAAGGGAAGGAGAGTAAGGGAATGGCGCCTCTTACAGAGAAATAGGGGAAGAGATGAGAGGGGAAAACTTTGGAACCCATGAAAGAGTAAGCCTCTGCGTAGTGCCAGGAAGGCGCAGTGCACTTTCTCTATGAGCCAGGCAGACAGGTTAAGGAGAGTCCTGTAGTCCTGGGCGGCTTTTTCAGGCTTTTATTGAGATTTTACCAGGTACACGACAGTCAGGGGTGCTGGGGGAGGCTGGCAGGCTTCCTAGCCCCGGGCAAGTCTTCACTCTTCCTGGGCTCTCTTGCATTCTCTCGTGCTCTCTGCTTTTTTGCTGCTCTCCTGGTTCTGCTCTTGTTCTGCTGCTCGCGCTCTCTTTCTACCAGCACTTCTGTAAGGGCAGGACGCACACAGTGCAAGTTTTCTGATCCAGCAGACCGGGTAAAGGAGGAGTCCTACAGGGGCCTGGAGTCCTCAGTGGCTTTTGCAGGCTTTTATTGGGATTTACTGGGTACATGGCAGGTAGGGGTGCTGGGAGGCCGGGAGGCTGGCAAGCAAGTCTTCACTCTGGGCTCTCCGGCCTCCTCTCATGTTCTCTCTGCTCCTCTCGTGGTTCGGCTTCTCTCTCGGCTTCTCTGCTCTCGCTGGCATCCCGTGACGCCGCCCTTAAAAGCCCAGTCTCAGCCCAGGTGAATCCCATCTACCTCTGCCCACACCCCACTCCAGGTGCCCGCATCAGGCATGCATTCAGGACTGCAGGGTTCCATCATCTATCCTGACGGTGGGAGGGCAGAAAAGCCTGATATTTTTTTACCTTACCCTGCAACTTCCTTCTTGTTCTGCTGGCGTCCCCGTGACGCCGCCCTTAAAAGCCCAGTCTCAGCCCAGGTGTGCCCACCTATGCATGCCCACACCCTACTCCAGGTGCCACCATCAGGCAAGCATGTAGGGCCGCAGGGATCCGTCATTAATGCTAATGGCGGGAGGGTGGAAAAGCCTGACACTTTTTCACTTACCCTACACTTGGCCAGGGGCTGTCAGTTCGTGGAGAGCTGTCAAGCAGTCGGCAGGCATTCACCCCTTTGAAAAAGGGGAAGGCAGCGAAAGCAGCTGTACTTCCTGGAGAGTAGACAGAAGGGAAGAGGTAGAGATCTTACTGATGTCGTTTTGATGAGATGTTGGCTTCAGGGAGTGGGGTCCATGGGTTACCTCTGAGAAAAGTTTTGGCAGAGTTCCCCTTTCAGCAGCACACAGCAAGTTTACACGGGAGATGAAGATGTTTGCACAGACACAGGCAGGTGAAGGTTACATTTTAAAAGGACAGGTTTATGAGAAAAAGGAGAAAGGGAAAAAGAGAGGCACCTGCATAGAGACAGGTGGGCAGAGAGCTGCAGCTGCTGCTTTGCAAAGGGAAAATTTTTGTGAAAAGAAACACTCGCAGGCAGGCAGGAGAGCTGCATTTTGCAAGTGCAGAAATTGTTCTGATATAGTGTTCTTTTGGGGAGAGTTTCATTCCTTTGTGGACTTGTTATCTGTTATTAAATTTATGACTTCTAGGGTGTGGAGGATAAGTAAAGTATCAGGCTTTTCCGCCCTCCCACCATTGGATTAAATGCATGCCTGATGGCGGGCACCTGGAGTAAGGTGTGGGTGTATATAGGTGGGATTCACCTGGGCTGAGACTGGGCCTATAAGGGCAGCGTCACATGGATGCCAGAAGAGCAGAACCAGAAGAACAAGCGAGAGAGCAGGAAATAAGCCACCGAGGGCTCCAGGACTTTTTACTCATCTGCTCCAATCATAGAAAATCTGCTCTGCGCCCTTCCTGCCACTACAGGGTGTGCCTAGGTCGATTTATAAGGACCGGGAATTCTCTAAAGACCTTCAGTCTCCATATCCCCAACCCTGCTCTGTGCCTCCAGACACTCCTATAGCAGTCAGCCTACACCTAAGGAGTTCCAGTCTGAGGATTTATTTTTCCCAATAGCTGGTTTAATGACTATGTTAATCATTTCTGGCCCCACCTCCAGTTTCTGGTCTTGTGACACCTCCATCCAAATTTCCTAGTCTAAGCCTCCATCCTGTTGAGCTCAGAAATCTAATTAGTTGTTTCCTGATAGCGGTATAGTGACAGTTTATTATATTTCCATTCACCCAAGCATGTAATAAGTTTTCATGCCTGATTTCCATTCAGATGGTTACACTTTGCCTTTCATTCTAGCCTTTTCACAAAGGAATCCAGCAACCCAAGTTACCAGAAACAAATGCAGGAGAAGATTCAATCAAAGAACTTTTGATGGGAAAGTTTAGACCCCTAAATTATTAATAGAAAGGGTTAATTAAGCTTACTATATCAATAATGAGAAGAGTACTGTGCTTTTGTAGGGGCTTCTCTCTTGAAATGCCTTATCCTATTTCTCACAAGGGCCTGGTTCCTTTCCATTTGTGTCTCTGGGTGTTCATCAGGACTGTAAGTGATACACTCTTATTGTTACACTATGCATGGGTTCACAGAAAGTTTGGATATGCCTCAACTAAGACCTATTGATGCTTGTGGGTGTATTAAGGTTTTGATACCTAAATTTTAGATTTTCAGGTCTAGTCACCCAGCCGGGAATTGACCCCAGGCTGCAGTGGCAGCGCTGAGTCCCAGTCACTAGGCCACCAGGGGTTGATGTCTCAGGAAGCCGGAGCAGGAACTTCGCTAACACCTAGGCAAGCAAATGAAAAGAGGCAAATTTGTTTAGAGAAATAGATATAAGAAAAAGTTTATAAAGGAGAAAAGGAAGGTAAATAAAGTGGAACTCCAGGCCGGGGGAACCAGGCTAGCAAAGGGCAAGGAAGCAGAAGTGCAGTTGTGCCTCAAGGAATATACACCTTCTTTCCCTAATTATTCTGTTGTGTTGCTCCTAGTCCTGGGGTGTTTGATTAGTCCCCCGTGGAATTTGTTGCCCTTATCTCTGGAGACTTCCTTATTTGGCTTTTCCTATTCTATTCTGATCCTAGGAGCTCTCCACTTGCACTGTGACTCAGTTTCTTTCCCAACCGATTTCTCTATATATGGAAGAAAATAAACAAGTTTTGGGCAAATGGGGGGTGGGGGTGGGGGTGGGGGGGCGTGGTGGTGTAAAGACTTGCAGAGACAAAGAGGTCTGCTGTGAAGTCCCATCCAGCAGCCCTGACCCATTAAAATTCCTTGCCTGGAATCTGGCACCTCCCCATATGGAGTAACCCCCAGACATCTGACCAAACAAGCATTTCTTTATAATAAAATATTTTATCTCTTAAAAGATAAAATATTTCTCATACATAAATTGCACCTACTGTTACAGGGCATCCCCGATATAAAACGGGTTGCCTGGCTGTGGGTCCTCACCTGCGTGCTTAAAAGGGACTTGTTAATACTCCACTGTAGACACACACAAGAGGTTAATAAAAGGTTTATTTACAAGGGAAGGGGAAATGAGGAAATGTACAACTCAGGAAGAAAATAGGGAAATAAAATCTTAAATGCGTCCTACCCGATTCGCCGACCTGGAAACCCAGTGGCACTCTGAGAGCTGACCAAGAGCCAAAAAGGGCACCCCCCAAAGCCCACGTGTCTGGTTTTATACCAAACCTGGCTGCTTAACCCCACCCTCAGGTTCCAGCAACCTTCCCTTTGGTGGTGATGGGATTTGTCTTTCCCAATGTCCTATTGGCTTTGGTTTGGAGTGGGGGTGGAGTCCACAAAGCCTGTATGGAATTAGCTCAGGACATCATTTCCCCCCTAATACTACCAGATATAAATGCATGTCATCCTTCTGGAAATTAACTTGCACAAACAGGTCTGCAAAAACAATGCAATGTGCCTGTCACCAAACTATATATGACAAGCCCCCTTGGGGGTGGGTGGACAAAGAAACAGCTGGCTGGCCCCTGTTTTCCATCAGTCGGTTTCTTTCAAGTTAATCTTCATATTTTTGGACTTCTTAATAAATCTTTTTTTTTTTGTCCCCTGCACAGTGGTAGTATTTTTATTAGTATATTTTATGAGGTCATTTAAGGCTGAGCTTATATAGCTAGGGACACAGTCCATTTGCCCCAACCCTATCCTAGAAGAACAAGCTCTCATCCTAAGCTGCATTATAGTCTGACAGCAAAGGCTGACTGGAGATAAACTTAAAATCATGTATCATGTATC